GAAAATCACTAAAAGTGCGTTAACCGACTAACAAAAAACGTCAGAAACACTAAATTTTACGGAAGAAATGTCAGAAGGAAGCTGCATCCAGGCTTTTTTTAAGAATTGAAAATGGGCRTGGCGTCGCCCACTTATGGACCAAAAGCCATATCTCAGGAAGTACTCGACCGATTTCAATGAAATTCAGTACTTAATATTTTCTTAACACCCTGATGACATGTACCAAATATGGGTGAAATAGGTTCACAACCACGCCTGAAATCTCGATTATCACTTTATCATGCGAGAGTATAAAATGTTCGGTGACACCCGAACTTAGCTCTTCTTACTTGTGTGTTTTTTTTTTTTTTTTTTTTGTTTTTTTGTTTTGGAATCTTCGCTAATAGCACTGAGGAGGATTAAAAGCCAACCTCTGACAACCACGGCCGAGAGCTCCGACTGAATGTGTGTTTTGATCTTTTTACGTTTGACTTCTGAATATCTAAGCGAAGATACCTAAAGAAATCAGTACATAACACCAACAAAAAAAAAAAGTAATGACTGACATAAAGTAAGACAAGCGGTACGCCAGCTGAAACAGAAATATAAGTTTGAGACAAAAGTTTGACTGCCTATAAATTGAAGACAAAAGATGTAGAGCCACATTCGATGGCTGAAAAGAAGAAAGTCCATTGAGCATGTGCAGGAGCTTTAAAATGTGATCAAATAGCGAATCTAAGAGAGCATTAGTTCAAATACACTTTTCGTAGACATGCGTAGACAGACCCAAGAAGTTAGATAGAACATTATTATAATATATATAGTATTAAGAAGAAAGCAACAATTAAAAGATTTGTGACAAGCAAGGTAATCAAGCTTAATCAAAGATATATTTTTGAGACAGAATTTTAGTTTTTTATAGCATGGGTATATAGAAAACAGTTTATACATAAGCGCCTTTGAAAGCAGACCGAATAAGAAATCAAAAAGAGGATTAGTTTAAAGGCTATATTTTAAGGTGAATGAGGTTCTTAAAAAGTGGAAAGCATAGTCTATTGTGACCATTTTTTCAACCTTTAGAGAAGAGTTTATATGGATATGTTCTTATTCCAAACCAAAGAAACAGGTAACTGCTGAATCAGATGGCAAATAAAGCGAGTTAAATGATAGAGTTTCACAAGAATATGAAGAAATGCAGATCATTGCTTGCTATAAAAAAAGTTTTTCTAAAAATTGGAACATAACCGCGAAATTTTTTCTCTCAGAGCTTCCACAATACACACAGAGATAATCTGCAAATCATTAGATTCGAGGTTTTGTTACAAAAATAAGCAATTTCGCACAGGAACACGGCACTTAAGCGCAAAGGAAACCATATAATTACCGAACGCTAGGCGAACCAAGGTGGCAGACGTCGAGAAGAGCTTCGCGATTGAGCGATTATAAGAATAATCTTTATTTGGACTAGGAAAATAATAAATCAAAATACACCCTCACAATCAAGGCGCACCGAAAAGGCTGAAAAGAAGAAGAGTGGCACAACAATAGAGAAATGAAAACTGTCACCCTTGGAGCACAAAAAAAGAAAGGAATAATAAAACTTATATGGCAACATTTTTAACAAACACACACACACATATATATATATATACAAATAAGTATGAACTGATTGAGTATCTGGCGCGTAATTACAATGAAGGCAGCTGCGTTGCAACATTCGGCTATGCGAAGGTCGTGTGTTGCGCAGCGTGTTGTAGCCGATCGCGGGCGTTGATTAGTTACAACAAAAGTAACAAAAACAAATAGTTCCGATGTCACAAAGAGGAACAAAAAAGAGTCCATAGAAAAAGTTGTTGGGGGAAAATATAACGATTTGCAGAATGATAACAACAATAACAACAACAAAGCAGCGTACACAATAAAAATTATAGCAGCAGTGGCACAACTAAAAAACCAAACGCGCTCCTGGTTGCATATTGCAACCCAAACACACGCACAGGCGTTACCGACAGCAGTACTGTTATACAGCCAGTAAGCCAAAGCTACCAACCACATAGTCAATGCCACACGGCGGTGATGCCATAGACGCCCACACTCCGTATACGCTGCGTTTATTTAAACATGTATATTGGCGTTGTTGCAATAGCAATCATTAGTTCTTGCAACATTGTCGACGAGCTTCCATTTGCAAAAGCAAAAAATTACAACAAATACAGCAAAATAAGAACCTGAGCCATAAAATCACACACATACACACACACACAGTGAAAATAAATGCTTGCCATATACATAATTGCGCTTGCATGCCGCCTGTGGCACGTGACGCACGTTGAAAAATGATGCCGCCGCCTCTTCTGCACAGCCCGCGCAATGCAACAACAAAGGGTTTGCAATCGTCGAAATAGAGCATGGCAAATTTAAAACCAAAGAGGCTGCACGCTTCCTCAAACTCGCCACACACACATACACACCCACACCGGCGCCGATTCTCATGTGAATTCGAGCGAATGCACGAAAAATTGCAAATTAATCTGATGATTTTATCACTTTTGTAAATAGCGCGGAGGGAGGGAGGTTGGCGCCCCGTGCGACCTCGACGGGGTGGCCGTGTAAAACAAGTAAATATATGTTTTCATCTGTTCAACAAGATTGCCATTGCGCTCATATTACAAAATGTTGCACGAATCGGCTGCGGCGCTTCGAACGCTTTGATTGGCATTTCGGCGCTCTCAACAAGCATTCTAATGATTTCAACGATTGCATAGCTTTTCGAACGTGCATACAAACGTTTGCTGTTGTTGTTGTTTGTTGCAACAATGCGCGTACAACGTGTCATTTGACAATTTACTCTGCGATTAGTTAATCAATTTTTAGAAATTCAAGTGAGCCACAGCAAATGACATGGGATTAGGTTCGCAGTTCGGTATTGAAAATGCTTTGTAAGCCGATATTTGGATTGACAGTTAGCAATCAATCGAAAAATTAAAAAAAAAAAAAACAAGGAAAAGTTCGATTTTTAAAAATTGATTAGAGTTCTAACTACACCACGTACAGGCAGTCGCCGTCTTCATTATATCAATATTTTTATCATTTTGTTTAAGGGCTTAGCTGGTAGTCCATCATTTGTTTCAACTACTCCTCCCCGTTCTCTACACATTTTCTACTCTCTATGAAACTTATGAAACTATGAAGTCTTCCATACTGCCGTCTTCCAGTCTTTAATCCTTAATCTTTCCATGAGATGATTTCCTGAAGTCTCTCTTTTCAAAAAATATTTAAAAATTGTCTTACTTTAGACTATGCCAAAGAGAAACGGATTCTTTTACACTAGGATTCGTCCAACGTGCTTCAACGCATCGCAGATATGTCTTCTGTGAGCACTTGGAGAGCACCTATGAGAACTGCCCCGCCATAATGTCAAAATCGAGCTTGGCGACTTTAACGCCAGGGTGGGTAAAGTATGTATATTTGGCACAACGGTCGGTAAAGGCTGATCGACTCCACCGAAACTCGAAATATTTCAGCATAGAAAATTTCAACAAGCTACCTAGCTGTCTCCGGATCGAAAAGCCACCAACCAGATCAATAGTGTTGTGATAGACAGAAGATACACCTCCAGTTTTTAGACGATCGTGTGGTGTCTCTTTCAGACAGAAAAAGAGAGAGACCGAAATGCGTGAGTATGAAGAGCTTGACAAGCTGGCCGACAAGGAAATTGACCGAAAGTTCTACGAAAAAGTGCGGCTTCTAACAGAAGGTTTCAAGATCGGAGCATACGCTTGTAGAACCCCCAGAGGTGATCTAGTGACGAATGCCCAGAACATACTAAAATTATGGAGAGAACACTTCTTCAGCCGGCTGAATGCCAGTGAAAGTATAACGCCAGGTGAAGACGAACCCGAT